TTGTGACAGGAAGAGCAAAGCTTGGAGGAATACCTGTTGGAATAGTTGCCGTTGAGACACAGACAGTGATGCAAGTTATCCCTGCTGATCCAGGACAACTTGATTCCCATGAGAGGGTTGTCCCTCAAGCTGGACAAGTATGGTTTCCAGATTCTGCAACCAAGACAGCTCAAGCAATAATGGATTTCAACAGAGAAGAGCTTCCGCTATTCATTCTTGCCAACTGGCGAGGCTCTTCGGGTGGGCAGAGGGACCTTTTTGAGGGTATCCTTCAGGCTGGATCAACCATAGTTGAGAACCTTAGAACATACAGACAGCCTGTTTTTGTGTACATTCCTATGATGGGTGAGCTCGTGGTGGGGCATGGGTTGTTGTTGACAGCCGGATCAAGTCCCACCATATTGAAATGTATGCTCATCGACCTGCTAAGGGAAACGTTTCTTAAGCCTGAGGGAATGATAGAGATCAAGTTTAGGACAAAGGAGCAGCTGGAGTGCATGGGTAGGCTCGACCCACAGCTCATTGATCTTAAGGCAAAACTTCAGGAAGCCAAGAGTAGCGATGCCTATGGGAAGACTGAATCTCTGCAGCAGCAAATAAAAGTCCGTGAGAAGCAACTTTTGCCACTATACACCCAGATAGCCACTAGATTTGCTGAACTTCATGACACTTCCCTGAGGATGGCTGCAAAAGGGGTAATAAAGGAAGTTGTAGACTGGAATCGTTCCCGCTTTTTCTTCTACAAAAGATTAGGTCGGAGAATTGCTGAGGGCAACATGATTAAGACTATACAAGATGCTGCTGGTGAGCAGCTACCGCATAAATCAGCAATGGACTTGATTAAGAAGTGGTTTTTAGATTCCAACATGGCAAGGGGCCAAGAAGATGCTTGGTTGGATGACGAAGCTTTCTTTGCGTGGAAGGATGATCAAAGAAACTACGAGGAGAAACTAAAGGAGCTGAGGGTCCAAAAGGTATTACTTCAACTATCAAATATTGGCAATTCAACATCAGACGTGCGAGCTCTACCTCAAGGTCTTGCTGCCCTTCTAAGCAAGGTAAACCATCCAAAACCCTTCAATTGATTTTACAAAATTCTTGTATGCATCTCTAGAAACCTTTGGATGATCGTTTGAATCCAACATTGCAGATGGAGCCCTCAAGCTGGTCGCAATTAGTCGAAGAACTTCGTAAAGTGATCAGTTAGTTATGAAGTTTGTATTCGAAATAACATGGACTCTCACATTACCTGTCTTGATTATTCTTTGATTGTTCCGGAGGTTTAAACACCACAGTTGCCTACGCTTGATGAAAATTCGCCCTCCACCAGAGTTTGTCAGAGTACTCCTGGGAACACCAAATCGATCTGTTAAGTGTAAATTTTTGCTAGCCTCCAAAGTTCAATTGGAGAAGTAGATAATTTATTGTTGCATGAAATTCATTAAGCATGAACAATTTCATAAGGTTTCCTGCAAACCTGTAGCTTCTTTTGTTGTTTTATTATCTTGTAATCGTGCTTAATAAATAAATATAAATCATTCTCGCTGGTGAATGCGAAATTGCAAATTCATAAGGCAGTTTTCTACATACTATCTGTCCTCGCTGGTACTGTTGTTGGCGTAGGAGCCGATATTGAAACACCGATTTTGGTGAGATTTAGAATCCCACTACGATGAATTCAATTGCCAGGTTCACCACTTAGGTTGGCAAGACCTAAGATACAGAAATAAATTCAGAGAATTCACTCCAAAAAACTCACTCAAAAGAGGAGAAATATAAACTGAAATTTTGATTGAAACTTGATACGTTCAATGGTGAGAACATGGCTACTTATAGGTAAAATCTAACGAAAGGCAATAAATGAAAAGTAAAGTGCAGTTGGGAGTTAGCAGTTTTGTAGAATTTAGTGGCCATTTTTGTTGACTTGTGACCATGTTGACAAAGTTGCACCGGCCTAGTGGTGCTGTAGAGTAGCTTCTGCATGCTTGTTGTTTTTTCTTGGTGCATTCTCCCTTGGTTGGAGAAAACTCGTCCTCGAGTTTGAGTTCAATGCTCATGATCCTCATAGTAAGGAGATAAGTCAGCAACATTAAAAGTAGTAGAGACTCCATAGTCACTTGGAAGTCTGGTCTTGTAGGCACAACCATGATAGAATCCTTGCTTCATTGAGTTCGCGGTAATCCATGAGGGGTCTCATCAGGAACAACATTGGAAAATTCTTCAAGGAGAGATCGAATTTCCTCTAGAAAAGGGGAAGTGGCATCATTCACTTTAGATAATAGCAAGAGACAAGCTGTCCTCGATTCTTGATGCAACTTCTGAAAGGTTGATCTGGAGATCAAAGCCTTGTCCTCATCTTTCTTTTCAAGTGTTTCTTCAGGCTTCAGGGGAGTGAGCTTGACCTTCACACCATCTTTCACAAACGAGTAGGTGTTGGCATGGCCGTCATGGATAGCCTTTCGGTCAAATTGCCAAGGGTGACCAAGTAACAAGTGACAAGCATCCATAGGAATAACATCACACCATACTTCGTCTTGGTACCTATTACTAATAGAAAAAGAGACAAGGCAACATTTGGTTACTTTTACCTCGTTTCCCTTTTGTAGCCATTGTAACTTGTATGGATGGGAAAGATCTTTGACTGGCAATCCTAGCTTCTCAACCATATAACTAGATACAACATTCTCACAACTTCCACTATCAATGATGACATTGCAAACTTTCCCTCGAGAAGTACATCTGGTGTGAAAGATGTTATGTCGGAGCCAATCTTCATCCTTGGTTATGGTATCATGAGGACTTCGACGCACAACCAAAGATTCTCCATGGTCAGCTGTGATGAGTTCTTCCTCAAGTTGTGGCTTAATCTCATCACTAATCTCCTTTTCTGCTTCACCATCTAAGACTTCATGAATCTCTCCTCCAATAATGGTGATAATTTTCCTATTGGGATAGTTGGAGGCAATGTGGCCAAATCCTTGACACTTGAAACACTTTCGAGTGTTAGGCTGGGCTGGACAACTTGAACTAGCTTCCTTCTCAACTTTGGCAGGTGTTTCAACAACAATCTTTAAGGCTTGGGTCCCTTGGCTAGCTTCAAAATCTCGTGGTTTTGAAGCAATAGTAATATTCTTCTTTGAGATTTGCTTTTCAACCCTCAATGCTAGCCAAATGACATCATCCAAAGTCTAATATTGTTGAAGTTGAACTACTTTGGAAATGTCATTGTCTAATCCTCCAAGATATCTTGCTATGGTTTGCTCTTCTTTTTCTCGAACATTACACTTCATCATTAATTGTTCGAACACCATAGTATATTCTTCCATAGTCAAAGATTTTTGTTGCAAGTTATGAAATTTAACAAAATTATCTTGGTAGTAACGGTTAGGTAAGAACTTACGAGTGAGTTCCCGATGCATTTTCTCCCAAGTTCTAATTTTGTTGCGGCCTTCTCTTTCTCGACTGTGTTTGAGATTCTCCCACCAAATGGATGCATGTTTCTTTAATTTGATGGCGACGAGCTTCACACGATTGTCGTCAGGAATATCCTTGAGTTCCAACACACGTTCCACAGTGTGCAACCAGTTGATAAATTCATTTGGTTGAAGGCGACCTTCAAAATTTGGAATATCAATTTTGATGCCAAGGTCAGTGGATTTGGGAGCAGCATTTTGTTAGGGATGTCGTCGATGATGAACTTTTTCTGTTGATGATGAGCTTTCATTATCCCTTAGGTGATGGAAGTGATTCTCGTCATCAGTATCTTCCTCTGACTTATGTGGTTCATCTTACGGGTGTTGAGCTTGTTGTCCCTCAAAAGCTTCGAGTCTTTCTTGAAGTCTTTGAATTTGTTGATGTAGTTCTTCCATCTCTATGTCCCGAACAGCTCGTTGACGAGGAGGATTTTGTCTTCTAGGAGGCATGATGAGTTTAGGTTGGTAAGGGGCATTTTGGAAAGTTGGTATTTGAAAGTGGGGGTAATTTGAAATTTATAAAATTATGGGGTCAATCTATAAGGTCAAAATAAGTTGAGGGACTTGATGACGTGGTAAAAGAGTGCGGCCGAGGTGATGACGTGTCACTGACGTGGCTGATGACGTTGCATAAATGACGTGGCAATATATGATGTGGTAGTGATTGGATGATGACATGTCAATGACATGGCAAATGAGAGGTTGAAGACGACCAGCACGTGATGTTCATGCGATTTGCAATGGTGCGAGTGGCCGCGAGTGGCCGACGCGTGAGACAGCGGCGTGACATGTGGAGGCGCATGTTACCTTGTTCGTCCACCAGATTTTCACTAGAATGCTTAGAATGACGTGCAGACTCCAAATATATTGGCTCTGATACCAAATGACGTAGGAGCCGATATCGAAACACCGATTTTGGCAAGATTTAGAATCCCACTATGATGAATTCGATTGCTAGGTTCACTATTTAGGTTGGCAAGACTTAAGATACAGAAATAAATTGAGAAAATCCACTCCCAAAAAACTCACTCAAAAGAGGAGAAATATAAACTGAAGTTTTGATTGAAACTTGATACATGCAATGGTGAGAACATGGCTATTTATAGGCAAAATCTAACGAAAGGCAATAAATGAAAAGTAAAGTGCAGTTGGGAGTTAACAGTTTTGTAGAATTTAGTGGCCATGTTGACAAAGTTGCACCGGCCTAGTGGTGCTGCAGAGTAGCTTCTGCATGCTGCTTGTTTTTTCCTGGTGCAGTTGTAGTAGTATCTACGAAAACCAAATCCTAGGCAATGGGATCGTAAATGTCATTATTAGTGCAATTTGCATTGGTTAACTATCTAAACTGATAATTTCTTTTTATAATATTTTAAATTTTAAAATATATATATATTTTGTATATTTGAATAGGTTATACAAGAGAATATAATTTTTTCTTTTTTCTCTAAATCTTTTTTCTCACCAATTCAAGATTTGAACTTCAGATTGATAAGTTTATGAATACCAGAGATATACCAGATATTTCAAATATATACCAGATATACTAAAATTAGAATTATCTGCAATCAGAATTATTAGCAATCCGTAATTATCTCCAATACGGATATCTGATTTAAAATCTCAAACTTATAATTATTGAATCACTTCTTAGAAGTTTTAAATTATATGATATACTGTGAATATGTCACGAGACAGGAATATTCTCAATACTGTTAAGAGTTATTAAAGGTAATTTTGTATTTTCATTACCTAAATTACTCCTTTAAAAAAAAAATTTTTTTGTTATCACATGGCTATAAAAGACATGTTATACATCAGTGATTAATCAAGCAGACTGGGAATTGAGCTTTGTCTTGAGCCCAAATCCGAAAGAGAAGAGGGGATCATAATGCGGGTCACCTACGTTCATCGGAAGCTGATCCACTCTCTTGAACCAGGTCCGGGCCAATTTCCCTGTGAATCCGAAGTCCCCAAAGACCACATCAGCCACTCTCTGCCCTTCACTTCCCGGTAACCACGCCGCCACCAGAGCATCCATCGATTCAAGATAGCGCTCAATAACAAGGGGGCGACCGGAGACGACGATCACCACACATTTAACCGACCCACAAATGTTCTTGATCGTTTCCAGCCCGGAAGCAGGGAGGGTCAGGTTCTGGTTATCGCCCCTTGTCTCTGCATAAGGCACTTCGCCTACGACGACCATGGCGTGCGAGAAGTTATTTTTCTTGACGAAGTTTTCGTCGGGTTTTTCCTTATAGACGACTTGGGTGGTTTAATCGACGGTGGATTCAATGGCCTTGAGGATGGTGGTACCGGAAGTGAGGTTGTTGCTGCCAAGTCTTTGCCATTCAATTGTCCAGCCACCACACTGGTAGTACAAGTTGTGGGCGTGGGTTCCCGCCACAAGGGTTTTCTTTGCTTTCTTGGGGAGGGGCAGAAGAGGCTTTCCACCGGATTTGCCATTCTTCAACAGTACAAGTGATTTCCTCACAGCTTCCCTTGCCAATTCTCTATGATCCTGAGTGTAAATTAATAAATACATTGTTTCTTGAAGATTAAGAAAAATTTTGGGTTCCAAATTCAAAGCAGCTTAATATTAGCTATTTCCTCTTGGGAGATAACTTTCTATATTTAGTATGTTTATGTTGTCAGTCTAGTTTTATTAATACTATTTTTGAACTCTTCCCTTACAATTCAAGTTTTTTAAATGAAATGATTCTTAAGTGAACTTACCTTGCATCCAACCTTGTGAGCAAGCTTATAATTACCGAGCCGGTTCTCAAAGAGGCCCATGGTGAACTTGACACGCAAGATCCTTGTCACAGCATCATCTATACGGTTCATGGGAATGACACCCTTCTTAACCAAATTGGTGACACCATTGATGAACTCTGTGTAGTTGTAAGGAATCATGACCTGGAAAAGAAATGTAGGTTAGTCTAAAATTCCAATACAATTTTGTCATTGAGGAAATTCCATTTGTAAGGATTGCAACTGACCATGTCAATACCAGCCAGGATTGAAGCTAATTGGAGTGAATAGGTGTAGTTCTTGTGTTCAGGATATGTAATCTTGTCGATTCCTCGATAATCAGAGATGATAAAGCCCTTGAAACCGAGTTTGTGCTTGAGGTATCTGGTAAGCAAATTGTAATTGGCATGCATCTTGACGCCATTGACGCTCGAGTAGGATGCCATAATTGTGGCAACACCCTTTGCGAGGGAATCCAAGTATGCAGGCATATGGATCCCAAACAGAGCCTTGGGGTTGACAATGGTATTGTTTTCATTGATGCCCTTGACCGTGCCTCCATCACCAACATAGTGCTTTGCACAAGCTGCCACCTTTGCCCTGTATCAAATGGTAGCACAACAGAGACAAACTCAACATTTCTGAGCTTTAGCGAAGATTGGAAGTGTGGAACTATAGTTATGCAGCTGTACCGACAGCTTTTTACTTTTGTCGACAGTCTTAAAAAATAGCATGGTTAGGTGTCAATCAGAAGAATGCTCGTTTATGGAGTAGTAATCTTACTTTGCATGAACATATGGGAGGCCATTCATGTTTTTTGGAACATCTCCCTGCAATCCTGGGATGATTTCGGTCATCATTTGTACAATCTTATGGTCCTCACTATAGCTCTCATAACAACTAGCCCCATATATCTAGGATCTCTGCATACCTGCATTTTGATTGTTGATGAAGAAAGGAATCAATAAGGGACTTATTACTGATTCTATTAAACATATATTTCTTTTTTTCAGAAAATTAAGAGTAGAATTGTGCACTAACTGCAATCCACGGTGCAAATGTATAACGAATGGCAGTTGCTCTAACTTCAAGAGCAGTTGCAGCTCCAATCCTCTTTACCAGCTCAGGATCCCTGTTGACAAAGAGAAAGATGGTTGAAAAAAGTGCACAAAAAAAAAGAGAGAAAAACTTCGTTTCATGGCTTGCGTGCACAAAAAATTCACCTGGTTACTCCTAGGCCAACATTATGAGGGAAGATGGTGGCATTGTACACATGGTTGTGTCCTTGAACAGCATCGATCCCATAGATCAAGGGGATCCCAAGACGAGTTCTCAGAGATCCCTTTTGAAACTTGTTCAGCATTTTTACTCATTGTTTTGGAGAAGCCTTAGTGTTAAGTGGGAAAAATCCCACATCGAGTATAAAAATAAGAAGCTTGTGGGTTAAAGACAAGGAGGGCTACTCCACCTATTGCCAATTGGTTTTAGGTTGGATGCAAGCCTTGTGTTGAACCCACATGCAGGATTTTCAATATGGTATCAAAGCCCAGGTTCTACCATGAGAAGCCCGTTGTTAGCCCACCTGACAGGATTCGAAGTTGATACCGGGCCTGCATTTAAGGGGACGCGTTAACCCACGTGACAAGACCCGACATTCATAGCGGGCCTGCACGTGTAAGTGGGAAAAATCCCACATCGAGTATAAAAATAAGAAGCTTGTGGGTTAAATACAAGGAGGGTTACTCCACCTATTGCCAATTGGAGCAGGAGCACTCCCTCCGCCACCGAACATACTCTCAAAGGCATTAGTAATTTACCTATCTTGTATTTCTTTACAATATGAGCAGTCGTGTTTTCACGTTCGACTTGGGCCATCTGTCCAATCTTCTCAGCAAGAGTCATTCTCTTGAACAGATCTTGAATCCTTACTTCCACTGGTAGCGTTGCATCTTTGTATTTCATATATTTTCTGGATGCTTTCTTGATGCTTCAACGACTGATGCATAGCAGCAGCAAAGAAACAGAATAATCAACAGTGGAATCAATGTTCTGGCCATTTTTCACCACTGATAGATACTGTAAAAGAATTAATGGGAAAACCAGAAATGGGTTTTAAAGAGTGAATAAAAGAATTTGAGAATCTCAGCTCTAAGAATATGATGGTGTAAGTAATATGAGAGGTGAGTTTAACGAACTTCAAGCTTTGATCAGTAAAGAATGTCCTTATGCTTATTATATTCACTACTTAGCTCATTGTTTGCAATAAACATTAGTTGCATCATCAAAGGAGACCCTTGTTGTGTATAATTTTTTTTTTTCAAACTTGACATGCATTGTCAATGTTGTTGTAGCTTCTTCTAAGAGCAACAATGAATTGAAATCTCTTTACACTTCTGATATTTCTTAATTGATTGAAAATAATGGGCTTGAAATTGAAAGTGGACTTAATTAGATAACACTTTATAGCAACTTGGTGACACTCGTTGGAATTCACACTTGAAATCTATTTCAAGCATGCTAAAAATGTTAGTGCAAGTTCTACAGTTCTCAGCAAGTTGATTGAGGAAGGATCTACATCTTCTTAACGCAGAGAAGCATTTAAAGGTAATATAACACATTGAAATCTTTAGAATTTGTCTGAATTCTACATCTTAGAAGAAAATTTTGAAGGTAACTAATATACGTTTCTTTTTTTATTTGCTAGATATAATGCAATGATGTCTTTTGAGTTTGTTTTTGTTTTACATTTTATGAAAGAAATCATGGAGATCACTGATATGCTTTATTAAGCTTTGTAGTGTAAATCTCAAGATATTTTGAATGCCTTGAATTTTGTCAAATCAACAAAGGCTTTCATTTAACAATTTAGAGAAAGTGGGTGAGATTCTTTACTTAAAATGGTAAAATTATTTTGTAAGAATAATAATATAGATGTTCCTAACATGCTTGCTACATATGTTGCACAAGGAGGACGTGCTCGTCATCAACAAGATATTATTATTGTTGAGCACCATTATCAAGTATATATTTTCTATGCTACAATAGAGATTTCCAATTGCAAGAATTGTATGGCAGATTTAATGAAAATGCAATGGAACTTTTGACTTTTAGTGGTGCTTTGGATACTAAAAATAGGTGCAAGAGTTTCAATATTGATAATATTTGTAGGCTTGTAAAAAAATACTATCCTCAAGATTTTTTAGAGATGGAGAAATTTCATTTGAGATAAGAGTTTCAAAATTATAAGATTGAAACAAATTGTGACCAAGGTTTTCAGAAATTGTCAAACATTTCTAACCTATGTCAATGGTTTGTGGAGATAAAAAAATTAGAGATCTACAATCTTATTTACAAGTTAATTACTTTAGTGCTTACTCTTATTGCTTACTCTTCCAGTTTCTACAACAATAACAAAAAGAGAATTTTTTGCTAGGTATTGTGAAAACAAAGTTTTGCAACAAAATAGAAGATGAATTCCTTTCAAACTCTTTTATTATTTACATTGAAAAGGAAATTGTTCAAACATTTAGTATAGACTCTATTATTAATAGATTTCATAATATGAAAATTTATCGAGTATTATTTTAATTTATGACGTAAAAGTAAGTTTTTAGAATTATAATGTATTATTTTGAGACTTGAAAATTT